GGTTTCGTAGTCCAAACGGATGGCATAACTTTCTCTAGTTTATTTGATCGAGTCTCACCCTCAACTCTTGTGTTCATCCTTCGGGATAGATACAGGATTTGAGGTAAAGTGCTCTTTCATCTAAACTATGAAAATTATGGGGTCAGTTTAACTTCATCTTTTTCAAAACTAAATTTTTTTAAAAAACCGTCCTTCCGAAGCAGGCAACGAGATTTCAATTCAGATGACCGACAACTTCTTACGGGCAAACCCCACACCAAAAATTGTGCTGACACATCGCCATAACATAAATACCATCATCAAGATTTTCACTGAGTAGGGCTCTATTCTCACTGATATTGATCAGATTGGTTCTAATGCAGTTGATTATTTTTCTTCTCTTTATGTTGATACTCCATCTGTCACTGATATTATTTCTGATTTTTTTGAGGACTCTAGAGATATGATTTCCAATCTCTCTTTGTCTGACCCCCCTACTGAGTTGGAAATTTTCAATGCCCTTAAAAATATTAGCTCACAGAAGGCTCCTGGCCTTGATGGTTTCACCTCCACTTTTTATATTTCATGTTGGAGCATTATTAAGAATGATGTAGTGCTGGCTATTCAAAGTTTTTTTCCAGGGAGTTGACCCTACAAAGTATTTCCCTGCTGCTTTGATTGTTCTCATCCCTAAGTCTAATACAAAATCACACTGGAAGGATTTTAGGTCCATATCACTAACCTCGGTTATCTCTAAAATTATCAGCAAGGTGATTGTGGCCCATCTCCAACCTCTCCTTCCTTCTCTTACTTCTCCTCAATAATCAGCCTGCATTAAAGGTCGTGACATTTCTGATAATATTCTATTGGGTCAGGAAATTTTACAGGATCTTGATAAAAATTGCAGGGGTGGCAATCTGGTTATCAAACTTGATATCAAAAAAACCTTTGATACCTTAAATTGGGATTTCATCATCAACGTTCTAAAAGCTAGATGTTTCAATACAAGTTTCCACTCTTTGATTAAAAGATGGCTTGCCAACAATTATTATTCTGTTTTAGTTAATGAAAACTCTTATGGTTTTTTCACTGCTTCTCCGGGCATCAAACAGAGAGACCCTCTTTCTCCTATTATTTTCATTTTAGCTTTTGATTATTTTTCTAAGATGCTTAACAGTTTCCAATTCTCACATCCCCATGCTCAGTTTTCCCACAAAGCCAAAATGACGGTTTCCCACCTTGCTTATGCTGATGATGTTATTATTTTTACTAATGCTTCTAAACCTGCCATAAAATAAGTGATGGGGCTTCTACAGGATTTTCAAAACTGCTCTAGTCTTCGTTTCAATAGTGACAAATGTCAAATATTTTTTGGCAAGCAGGTTAAGCAACATATTGCCGACCCCACGTAGTGGGATTAAGGCTTTTTTGTTGTTGTTGTTGTTGTTGTTGTTGTAGGTTAAGCAACATATTACTCATTGGGGAGTTATGTTTACAGGCTTTCATCATGCCTCCTTCCCCTTAAGTATCTTGGGGTGAATTTGATAAGGAGAAGGAGGAAACAGATACATATGGATGATGTGATTGATAAAATCAAACGTAAAGTATATGATTGGAGAAATGTTTTCGGGGCATGTAGGGGCATGATCTCTTTACTTACTAGTGTTCTTCAAAGTATTCCATTATATGCTTTGCAAGTGTTCAATCCCAAGAAAAGTGTTATTTGTACTATGGAGAAGCTCTTTAATAAATTTCTTTGGGTGGGGAATGGTGTAAAGAAAATTTGGAGTACTTGGCATAAAGTTTGTAAGCCTAAAGAGGCTGGTGGGTTCGATTTTAAAACACTAAAACATACTGTTGAAGTTAACCTTTGTAAACTTTGGTATAAATTTAGATTGGGTTCCTCTCTTTAGGCCATGTTTCTGAAGCAAAAATTTTGTGCTCATATTCATCCTTCCTTGATCTTGTGGAAGGTTGGAGATTCTCGTATTTGGAAGGCTGTGGTAGATGCTAGAGATACAAGAAATGGTTTCATTTTTTGGGACATTGGGGAGGGGAAAATTTCCTTCTGGAATGATAATTGGGGTTTTTCACATAACTCATTTATCTCACTCTCTTCATTCTAACTCTTTATTGGTCTTGGATTTCTTTGCTAATGATGGTTGGGATTACTCTAAGTTATGTTCTATGGTTGGGGAACATAATGCAAAGCATATTCTCACTATCCCCATTACTCCTACTCATAGGGATCTCCCCATGTGGAAAAGAAGTAATTTTCTCTCGATTTACAAACTCATTTATGACACTACACTCATACCGGGATTGGATATAGGGAAAATGGATTTGGCATAAATATTTATCTCCCTCTATATCCTTTTTTCTTCGGAGATATCTTAAGTCTTTAATCTAAATTGATGATATTCTTAAGCTTAAGGGCTTGAAATTAGCCTCAAGATGCCATATGTGTAAAATGAAGGAGGAGGATATAAAGCACATTTTCTTTGAGTGTGCTTTCTCTTTAGAGGTTTGTGATATGATTGGCTCTTATTTTGGTTTCTCTTGGATACATAGAGGTTCTTTAACTAGTTATTTGTGGCAATGAAAGGTTTATGATGCCCGTCAGGAGAGGTTTCCCCTCCATTTATTGGTTCTTTGGTTCCTTTGGAACTCCAGAAACAGCTTTAAGTATCACACCTCTCCCCCCTCTACTTCTATGATTGTTGCCTATGTGATTGCCTATTACAATAAAATTTTACGAGCTAGTTCTTCTGTGGTTAAAGTTTCTAAGCCCCCTCGGCTTATTACATGGACTCCCCCGCACGCTAATTATGTGAAATTAAATGTTGATGGTTGTTGGCATCCTGATTATGCTGCGGTTAGGGGCTTATTTAAAAATTCTGAGGGGAGATGTCTTTGTTATTTCGCTTCCCCAGTAATTGCTGAAACTCCATTGGCTGTAGAATGTTGGGGAGTTTATTTGGCTTTAGTGGTGGCTAAAATTTTCAATTTTCATAAATTAGAGGTGGACATGGATTCTAAAATGCTTTATGATATTTTGGTCGGTACCTTTTATCCACTCTGGGATTTTTTTGGTACCTTTACAAGAATACTAGCTCTTATAGTTGATAAACATCTTGAGGTTAATTGGAAGTTTATACATAGAGAGGGCATTCCCCCTGCCGATTGGCTTGCCAAGCATGCAGGGGAGATCTATCACGTTGGCATACACCCCACTTCCCCTCTTCGAAGACTCATCATTGGGGATACTTTAAATCTTCCTTATGTTTTGTTTTAAATTTTTTACGTATTTTTTTGCCATCAAATGAAGCTCTATTTGGTTTGGTTGGGCATTACTTCTTTTTTTCTTGCGGTTCCCTTCTATTTTGTTTGGCTTGACTGTTTTTATCACTTGTTACAGGATGATCTCTATTTTTGGAGTCACGGGCTGTGCTGGAGTCCCCGCTCACGGTCTTTTTGGAGATATCTGCTATACTGAGGACAACTCTTCTGCGTGATTTTCTTTGTTTTTTTTTCTTTTCAAGATACTTCCAAGATATACAAGCATACATGATTACTCCTTTTTGACTTTTTTTGGTTTTTGGGTATACTTGTATTTTGGAGATTCTTTTTTTTTTGTGAGTTGTATTGCGGGGAAAGGGACCCCTAGGGGTGAGCTAATTGTATTATTTGTGTTTTCTAGAAGGGGATCCTCTCCCCCTCCCTATCATTGTACCTTTTTTTTAAATATTAACACGTAGGGAGTCACCACTGCTCTTTCCCCCAAATATATATATATATATATATATATATATATTAAAATTTATAAAATATTTAT